ACCAGCCAGTCAGTCACATACAACAGACGGGCGCTGACGGGTCACGGTTACTCTCAGACGCCACTCTCGCGGTCAGGAATTCAGGCGAGTGCTTCAGACCACTCCTCTCGTTGCCCATGAAGATTCGTAAAAGCTGGCAGGCCTTCTGGTCGGTTTTCTTCATAAGACGTTCACATCGTAAGTCTCAACAGGGTTCTATTTTAATTCCTAACTTATCCGATCATATTATCATTGTTAAAGACTTAGCACACTTATGTTAAATGGTTGTTCTCAAGCTTTTCACTTTTATCAACTTGTCGATTCTGTCGCTGTTTGCTTTTGTGTGATCATCACCCTGAGAATTGGCATTAACAGAAGGTGTGTCGTTTGTGATACCATGTTATATACTCAGCGTAATAACACCAGTCATTGTACTCTTTGAATAGTTTACTACGCATTAAAAGAAATAGTTCTTCTCTGAAAGCAGACCTGCCCCATTTTGCATGATTATTCGATCACGTTACACGTTGCCAATACCAACAGACACTCTTGGTCAACTTCGGCCGTGATTCAGCGCCCACACGAGAATCTGGCGACTGGAGTAAGTAGCTTCTGCTGTTCAGTTCGTCTAAGAGCACCAACTTTCTTTTGTTAATATCCATTTCTATTCAGCTACTTATTCTTAGAACGGAACTGATTCACTCCTTTCGTGGTCCTGCAACGGAAGCCTCATTCCGCGAGAATCCTTCGCTGTTGTATGCAGTACAACCGTCGTTCTCGTTTCTTCGCTCCATGACATGCAACAGCCTTGTTCTGACCAAACCAGGATGGATTTTTCTAGTAACATCCATTTCTTTCTCAGCCCATAAATCTGACAGGTCATCAAACGCACTGGAGGCGAGGGCAATTTTGATGTAACTCCTATTGGATGATGCCATCAATGGAGATGATCGAGCCAAGAAACTTCCTGTGTGGCTTATCGTCTTTATTCCGCGAGTAGATCTACCGCGTCTGATGAATTTAAGCTTTAGACTTACAGACGTTACCGTAGACGTCGAGGCCTTAGCAGCTACGTTGCAAACGGAAGCCGTCAGGTACCATCAGTTTGACCTCTCCTGCCAACCAGCAAGTTCCTATTTGACCTCCATTTAAATTCAGCACTCGGCGGAAACCTCCAGTATGCCGTTCTTAAAGAGCTGCCACTCGTCTTCAACATCAATTGTCACTGGGATCTGTAGAAACCGTCTACGATGTTGTTTTCGAATTTCGCTCTCGTCTCTACCGAAGATAATGATTCCAATTTGATTTTCTGGTTGTTTCTGTCACCAGATCTTCTCATGGTACTCAATTTCTTATAACGCAGTGTGTCAACAACATGGTGATGATCGGTTGATAGCTCTGCCCACTTTCAACGCTACTCTGCATTCCTGAATAAAGTCGTATTAGTTGTTAAAGGACCAACTTCTTCTCATTGATAATGTGTCACTGAAAGGCAATCAGGTTGTTGATGCTCCATACATCACGTGATATTGTCTCAGTGGCAAAGGTGGCACCCTCAACCACGTTGAGAAGCAGTTGTGACGAGAAGCAGTTCAACAATCTGATTGGTGAAGCACTATTGTACTATTAACCTGGAATTTTGCTGTTGCCTAGAGAACGATCAGTAGCAAAGCAGGAATTTTTTTCCTGTCTCCGACATGGTGCGATGTTGAGTTTCTGACCCGCCTTTTGTTCATTGATAAAGATTCTCCAAACGGACAGGTTGCTGATGTTCCGTACCTCACGTGATATTGTTTCGGTGGCAGATGTGGCACACCGAGAAACAACCATACGTTACGTTCTAGGTGACGTAGAAGCAGTCCAACAATCTGTCTGCTGAAAGAGTATTACGTTAGTGAGGTTTAATTTCCCTCTTGCCTTAAAGTATAACTGTTACGAACCGAAAAACTCCTTTGCTATGGCTGACAAT